TGATAATTCCTCCTAAGTTCCCCAACGTTTCCAATGACAGTTTCCAGCTAACTAAGGGCATAATGGTATCCCCATGTATGTAGAAACACATGAGGGTGCGGTGGAGCTGAGGCTTGAACAAAGAGCCTGCTGCTTGTTCTGAGTTCTGCCAAATGAATGACATTCCCAGACTTGACTCTACTCTTAATCCATCTTTCCTACAGCTTAGCTAGTGTGGAAAATACTGCAAGGAACATGGAGGCATGGCCAGCATCTCTTTGGTTTGATGATTTTAACTCTTTTGATCAAATACCCAGAAGACAGACAGACGACTGAATCTTTTGTGTTTGTACTGCTAGAGACCGAATGGGGGCTATGCACACACTCTTACCACTGACTTAACTTTTTCTATCTTTCACAGTTCCACTAACTTGCAATAGCACCAACTTCTAAATAAATAAATAACCTACCTAAGAGGAGGAAAGAAATGGCTCTCTGTGTATTTCAATTACATTTCTCCAATGATTAGGTATTGAACACTTGAACACTTCCATTTGTATGTCTTCTGAGAAGTGGCATCTTTGGGGTTTCGGTTTTGTTGTTTTCTACCCCCCCCCAATACTTGTGGTGCTGGATAGAACCTCAGAATCTTACAGTATCATAAACCATACCTACAACTCTATTCAAGTTTTTGATCTTTTTTTTTTTTTAAACTAAGTTAATGTTTTCTTTATTGGTAGTCTGAGTTCCCTGAAAAATACCTTAACATATGATTTGTATATATTTTCTGCAACCTGTATTTTGTCTCTCCAATCTATTATTCTCTCCTAGTTTGCCTCTAGCAGCTTATAATTTCAGCTCTTACACTGAAGCATTTAATCCATCTCTAATTTATTCTGGTGGAAGGGTGAGTTAAGGGTCAGTTTTATTGTTCTACATGTGGATACTCAGCTTCCTAAACACTATTCATTAACGAGGCCTTCTCTATTGTTCATTCCTAGCACTGCCAAAATTGACCATAAATGTGTAAGCTTATTTCTGAGCCAGCTTATTTCATTACCTGATATGTCTTTTTTTAATGCCAATATCATGCTGTTTTAATTAGGATAGCTTTAAAATATACTTTGAAAACCAGTAATTTGATATTTACATTTTCTTTATCTTTATTCTTTTTTTTTTTTTTCTAAATGGCTCTGGTCATTCAGTCCTTTGTAATTCTATACAAGTTTTATGGGTATCTTTTCCCATTAATACCTCTGTGAAGAATGACTTGGAGGCTGGCAAAATGACACAAAAGGTGAAAGTGCTGACTCTGAGGCCCACAGTCTGTGACGAATGCAGAGAACCAATTCCTGAAACCTGTCTTCTGACCTTCACACATGTGGCTCATAAACACATACACATGAACATGATCATGCAGACCCAACACAATGCTAATAAAAGAATATTGAGATTTTGTCAAGAGACTGGATTAAATCTATAGATTAGTTTCAGTCACATGGATATTTTAATATTACTATTATTTTACACCTCCTAAATACTCACATGTTAGGCAAAGCCTTTACCATTGTGCTATATATCCTCAATCCTTTCTCTTTGTATTTTAAGACATTGTGTTTATTTGTATTTACTTTGTATTTCAAGACTTAGCCTAACTAACCTATCCGGACTGGCCATAAAATTCACTTTGCTGCCCAGAGAGACCTTGAACTTGCAATCTTCCTGCCTCAGCCTTCTGAATTAGAAGGGTTTACAGGCCTTCACTACCAGATTTGCCTATAATACTAATTATTCTACTTATGAACATAGGACATTTTCCCACTGATTTACAGGCAATGTTTTACAATCCGTATTGAACAGCTTGCTCATCTCCTTGATTAAATTAAGTTCTAAATATGAAATTTTATTCTAAGAAGAACTATTTTCTTAACTTCTTTTTAATATATTTTACTATTGATATATAGAAATACTGTTTTGTATTATACAACTTTACTAAATTTCATTTTCAGTTCTAACAGTTTTTGAGGGGAGTTTTGGAGAGTTAAATAGAAGTCTCTATATATGAAATAATCCTGTGAGCAAACAGATAATTCTTTTCTTTGTTATTGTCTAGATGCATTTTATTTCTTTTCTTCCTTAATTGCTTTGGTTAGGATTTCTAGTGCTTTACTGAATAGAACTGGTAAGAGTGGCTATCCTGACCTTGGAGAAAAAGCTTTCACTACTACCCATTAATACGCATGATGTGAACTGTGAGACTATCTCTCATACATGGGTATATGGTGTGTGTGCTGAGGAACATTTTAATTACATCTAATTTGTTGAGTTTTTATCACAAGAGTTGTTCAGGCCTTTATAATAAACAGTATTTCAGAGTTTTATAGCTAAGAAATTTACCTGATAAGAATTTTTATTTTACAAATAGGTAAAATCATTTACTGTACACAGGGGTAAACAATATGAGATTTTACACAGAGCAAGGTAAAAAGCAAGGACTGGCACACAAAGCTGTCTCCTGTGGCCTCCATATATGTGCCCTAGCATGTGTATGTATACATTTGTTAATAAATGCAAAATTTAACAAAAGCACTAAGTTTTATTCCAACATACTGATGTATTAAAGGAATCAAAGCACAAAGTGACATTTTATACATTTGGCTTCCAGTTATCTGCAAAGCAAATATTCAACATAATCAGTAGAAAACACTTTTGGTTTTATCCTAAAATTTATTTTTAGGCTTGTTCTCTACCTTATTTAATGTTTAAAATATGCTTTGATAATAATTACAAAAGTGAATATACAATTTTGATTTGCTGAGTTTGAGACATCAGTAATATTTATGGCTCAGAGTCTATAATAAGCCTAGAGAACAACAAGAGGCACACAATTTAGTGAGGAGTAAGTGTGGATGGAAATGCAGTACAATATCATAAAAAGTGAGCAAAGCAGCACAGAGAAGATAGGGATGAATCATCCAGGTCTCACAATGCTATCCAGCTTAGCTTTTGAGGGAACCCAGGAATCTGACAGTAGGGCTTAAAGGAGGTCAAACAAACAAATACATAAATAAATAGATAAATAAATAAATCTTGAAAGAGACTATTAATATTCTAAAATATTAAATGTTAAGTGATGGGCAATATATTAGTGGCTTCCAGGAATGAGGACTGGGAATGGAAACTGCCTGGAAAGGTAAAGAGGGAATCACTAAAGTGATGGAGCAGTCTAAGTACATCTACCAACATGTCCCTAGACACATTAAGTGAAAACCATCAAATTATACACTGAAACATATATGTAAACAATGCAATTTTTATTCCATTAAATTTAATTTTTAGAAGGGGACTAGAGAAACCAAATGGGCTACATTTTGTGTTACCAAAATGCTCATATTTTACTGAATCACAAGGCAGTTCTCAGTATTCTATGAAGAAAAAAATGCTTTCCCTAAATAGAGTTTAAAGCTCTAGCAGTTTCTTATTTTAGACTTCTAAAGACGCAATAGGAAAGACATGTAATTGGCAGCAAGCCAAACAAAACAGACTTAGTTTATAAAATACTACTACTAAAAACGGAATTTTCACAATACATGTTTCCATTTATAATATAATTACGAAATTTTTGAGTAAGAGACTACTAGCCGAGGAGTAGAAAGTATATAACTAGCTTGACTATTCTCTAAGGAAATTAATTCATACCTTTGGGATTTTTTCAGTTCTAAAACGGAAATACTGGTTTCCTATTATTTACGTCATTTTAAAGATTAAGTTCTTGTACATGGTTGAAGTCTATATGCAGAGCCCCCTACAAATGAAAGTCCTAAATCCCAGATGTAGAAGGTAGTAAGTAAATGAAGAATACTAAATACTGTATTTTCTGATTTTTTTTAAGACTGTTAATTTTATACCCATTAACTCATAATAGCTAATCACATGCTCATCTAAAATCTCATGTACTAGGGTTTACTCTTTATAAATGACTTTTCCTTTATTTACTGCAAAGAAAAGGTTATACTGCTTAATTTACTTCACTCAAAATATCAGCTTTGCAATAACAAAACTATTACACAAGTGTCTTAAATGTTTTGTATAAAGCTTCAGATAGAATATACATACTGGTAAGTGGATAATGGTGTGAACATAAGACATTTTTCTTGAAAAGCTATACAATAAAAAAGCAATGCTGCCTTAGGGAAGTGGCCTGAAGGACAGAGGCAATTTTCCTACCTTCACTTTTGTACTACTGAGAAAATTTCTAACTAATATCTGTTGATTCCTTAAAAATAATGGTTTTAGGTTGGAACTATTCAATACAATTCCCTATTTTCTATACATAAAGAGAAGTAAAAGATAAGTTTGGGTTTTTGTTGTTTCTACTTTTTTTTATTACTAAACCATGTGCCTGACAGTGCAGGTATTTAATTCAGGTTCTCCTTTACACAAGGCATCAAGGTGATAAATTTGATTAATGGCTATGAACTCTAATGTATCTATTTCCACAGAATGTATATTTCTTTCACGTTTATTTATTTGGGAGGGGACAAATGGAAGTCATGACAAAATGTGTCTTTCCACCCTATGGGTACTGGGTACTAAAAGGCCTCAAGTCTTCAGGCTCCAGCAGTCAGGCTCAGGAGCAAGTACCCTTGGTGGGAAGCTGTCTTGTCAGCCTCATGGGATGACTTTTTCACTTTTAAAAGTAACCTGACACACTTCTGTTATTGATCATAAGGTTAAAAGCATGTGGTTGACTCAGTACAAAACAATACTAGAAAATAGCTGTTCGCCCTGTCCTGCTGACTGGGGATAAGCAAATTCAACAGCTGCTTATCTCTAAGTAAAAGCTTCAGTGTTGATAGCTATCAACTCACTCACCTTCACAGTATATAAACGAGGTTTAACCACAGAGAAAACAGTCTTCTTACTTTTAGAACAGCTAAAAACTACTGTCATAGAACTTACACTTCTCTGGAAGGACATTACCCTGCTAATATACCACATAATCATCAGAAGTACAGTACCTGCAGCATCCTCTGGATCCGAAACAACGATGTGTGCATTTAATTCTTGTAGCTTGTGATGTAATTCTTCTAATTTTTTATTTGACTTTTTCAAAATGTTGTCTACATAAGCCAAATTTTTTTTATCTGTTGTGACTTTCCTCAGATTTTCAGCTCCTTCTTTGATTTTCAGTTCTTTCCTTATTTCTCTCTTTATTCGATCCTTGATGTCATCCAATTTCTGTTGCACCATTGTATCTGAAAAGTCTAATTTTTGAACAGCACTCACGTTCTCAGAAAATGGAATACTCCGGGAATCTCCCTATAACAAACAAACAAACAAACAAACAAATAAACAACACTGGAATCTAGAAAAGTACATGTATAGCATTAAGGATAAGTGTCTGCACTATAAAGAGATTATTTATTAACTGAATTACATTTAAATTTCCCCCTAATTAGGCAGCAGTTTACTTATTTCCCTGTATTCAAACCACATGGGCCAGGCTGGAGAGATGGCTCATAGGTTAAGAGTACTGGCTCTTCCAGAGGTTCTGAGTTCAATTCCCAGCAACCACGTGGTGGCTCACAACCATCCATAATGAGATCTGGTGCCCTCTTCTGGTTGTAAGCATACAAGAAGGCAGAACACTGTATATATAATAAGTAAATAAATCTTCAATAAAAATAAAAATGGCACATGCCTTTAATCCCAGCACTTGGGAGGCAGAAGCTGGCAGATCTCTGTGAGTTCAAGACTAGCCTGGTCTACAAGAGGTAGTTCCAGGACAGACTCCAAGCTACACAGAGAAACCGTCTCGAAAAACCATAAATAAATAAATAAATAAATAAATAAATAAATAAATAAATAAATAAAACCACAATGGAATAAATGTTTAAATACTCTAGCTACTTACTAAGTAATATCATTTGACAAATAGACTTACATTAAAATGAGCTAGGCATGATGGTTCATACCTTTAATACCAAAGGGAAGCTAAGGCAGAAGGATTGCAAGGCTAAGGGCCAGTCTGAGCTATGCAGCAATTTTAAATCTTAAATAATCTAGTTAAGTACATAAAACCTGACGCATGTACAATACAAAGGCGTCCCAGGGTTGTGTAAAGATGGTTAAATTGTCACTCCCACATTATAAACTCTGGACAGGTTATTTAATCTTTAAGAACTCAATTTATGCTGAGCGTTGGTGGCACACAAACTTTAATCCCAGTACTCGGGAGGCAGAGGAAGGCCGATCTCTGTGAGTTCGAGGTCAGCTTGGTCTACAGGGCAAATGCCAGGATAGGCTCCAAAGCTGCACAGAGAAATCCTGTCTCGAACACCCAGGAAAAAAAAAAAAAAAAAAAAAAAAAAAAAAAGAACTCAATTTATTTATGAAATCTGAATAGTAGTATTAGTGACCTTTCAGAGCTATTTGGTAATTCAAGACATTCCAAGCAAAACAAAGGAACACCTTCCTGACCACATTTTATCATATACAATACATATTAGGCTTATGAAGACAGTATTCAGAATTCTATATATATTTTTCATTACTATCTCATCTGCTAAATTTAGTCTGCAATACAAAAACAGAAAAGCATTAGCAGAAATTATCTTTAAATTGTGTCTTAAACAACTAAGATGGTGCCTGTATAATTATTTTTCTTAAAATGAAACATCAGTTAGGCAAATCCAATCTACATTTAAAACAGCCAAAGTCATGTTTTAACTACTTTTACTTGTGTAATTAGACTAATAATAATGGGTATTAGTCTAATAGGGTTGCTTTGAACACTTAAATTCTGAGAGGCAATCATATATTGGTTCTCTTTGAGAAGAGCTGATTGGTTGATGAGATGGAAAGAGGAAGATAGTTCACTGTACAGCATGTTTACCTACCTCTACAAAAACAGAACTAATGAAATAAAAGACTGTCTTCCATATCCCTGCAAACTCATCACACACACACACTGTATATATGTATATATATATATTATTTAAATTTTTGGTATATGACCTTTTACATCTAATTCTTAATCTTTAATAAAAATGTGTCAGCAAAGTAGGGGGAAAGGTGAGTTAATGGTAGCATCTTATATAAAAGACGAAGAAGCTGACTTCTATTCATTGGTTTCTAACATTCTAAGGCTAAGATCTCCTTGACAGTATGACAAAACAAAACACATTATCAAAAACAACAACTCACATGCATATCTATATAATTTCTATACTGTACTCCACGCACCTCACCTAAGCTAACTCCTGAAATGTGCCTATTGGCTTTAAATTCAATTTTATCTAAGTGTATCTAAGATGCTATTCTTCCTGGGCTAAAATACTGTTGAAATTTTTCAGTGTGCATTCACACACGAATTCATTCACAGAGTGCTGGTGATAAAACTCAAGCTTCACATGGTAGTCGAGCACCCTACCACTGAGCTACACCTCCAGTTCCTTCAACATTTATACTCCGACCTGAGTCTCATCATTTTAGTTTCCAATTCACCTCAGGTTAGGGATTGGAAACATCAGCCATATGACTGCCAAAAAATAAGATATTGCTATGTACAGACTTATGTGTAAAGAAGACTGAAGCAAAAAGGACTCTAAATTAATCCGACTAGGTATTAATATTTCAATTCTTATAAGTTAACCAGAAACTGTCACAGAAATCACTTTAACAAGTTCTTGGATTAATGTTATGCAATCAGCCACAAGTCCTTAACACTTCTTGGTTCATGATATCCTTCAGTACTTTTTTCCTGAATCTCTGCAGGCCAAAAAAATACCCAATAGTTCTGTTCAGTAAATAGTGAGGTCCAACTACCTTAATATTTGTCATGGTATACAGTGACAATACAAGTTGAACCAAAAATATAACATTTATATAACAGCTTCAAAGGCCGTTAGAATAAACAGATACAAACATATTTGGTGTGAATTCTTTGATGGCCCTTACTTACTTCAACTTTTTTTTCCAGATTGTTCTTCAAACTCCAACAATATCAAGCTGTGGGAAATGACTCTGAGAGACCATTTTTCTTGGCTCCATCACCATGCACGTTATACCTTTGGGATATACTACCTCTCTGTCTCCAACTATTTCTTCCAAGTTCCTTCTTGGCCTGGGTAACTTTTTGTTTCAAAGTTCATGGTAACCTTCCTGGGAAAGAATTTCCTGCCAATGTTCTCCCTTGGGAGTTTATGACTCTCCTGTGTGCTGGTACCATGGATCTTGTTTAAGTAATTATCCCTTTTGTTAATTTGATTGCTCCAAAGACTAAGAGCAGTTTGAGGGCAGGGGTATAATTGGCAGATAAATATTTTTAAAAAGACAGAGATTTGCCATTTAAAATAATCAGTTACACATACATACACAGACACACACACACACACACACACACACACACACACACACACACACAAACACACACACATTAAAAAACTCATGCTTCCCTCTTTTCTGATAAAAAGAATACTCCTGGAAGTGCAGAAGCAAACTAGGATTCCACCATCAGAAAGTCAGGTATAAACTTTGACTGACAACAGGTTGGCTCCCTCTTCTTTTCCACAAATATGACTTTTTAGTAATCATATTTTTACTCTCATCATTTTCTGTAATATGAATCCATTACCTTTAGTACAGGAACAAGAGATGTACACAATATAACCAATAACTTAGGCTATAAACAAATATTTCAGATACCAGACTCCAGACCCCCCAAAAGTTAACATACCTTGCAGCCCCACTGCAGCCTTTCTTAGAGCAGTCTCACTAAGTAGCCCTGGCTAGCCTGGACCTCTTGTGGCCAGCCTAGCCTCATAGAGACCCTCTACTTCTGCCTCCAGCACATGCCTCCACCACCCTTTTAAAACACTTTAGTTAGAATTGAAATTGTTGAGTTTTAGTTAGAAAAAGCTGAAAATTTATTTTAAAAAACCATAATTTCCTTACATTTACAGTAAGTGAAATAAGGTATTTAGTTCCCTAAATTGTGATGCTGCCCTCCAAAACAAAATCAATTATAATGCCAGAACTATTACCAGTCAATAAAACAATACTCTTAATCTGAATAAACTAAATTAACTATAGGAAAATAGTTCATGACCAGTAGGAAATCCTTAGTGGCAACTTCTGCCTTAAGTGTTTTCTGCTGAGGGGGAACTGACTACCTACCTTAATTGCTAGCTTCATGCTTTTATCCCCTAGTTGAGAACATCTTTCTATAGGAAGCACAGTGCAGTGCCATATGCCTATTATCCCAGCACTTGGCAGGCAAACAGGAAAACTAAGACTAACTGGCCTACTAGCAAGCAGTTCAAGGCCTGCTTGAGCTGCACAGTGAGTCCTTATCTGAAAAAACAAACCGGCAGGGAGTTGTCTAAGAAGTCCAGGACCTCAATCTGATCCCTTCCACCATACCGTAAAACAACAAAAACAAAGCTGGATCCAACTTCTAATTACAACGTCCCTTTTGAATTCACAAATATGCTTTGAAAGTATAAGAATGAGAGGAAACCAAGTCCATGAGCTAACTGTAGCCATAAAGCTAAACTATCCACTCTGCAGACTATCTACCATCACTGAGTAAACACAAACACACATCTTCCCTACCTTTATCACTGAAGCTGCATGCTTAACCACTCCATTCTAATCCAAGTAACCTAAAATCTGCTGTTTACACACATTCTAGTTTTATTGTTTTTCAAAAGCTCAAATGTTTTTTAAAACTAAGTCCAACATTACCAAATGATTGACCAAATCTGTTTAAACAAGGTTTTCATTATCAACCCCATATATTAATACTTAACATATATTAAATTTCCTGTCATCTTTTATCTGTAAAGCAACATTCAAATTTTAAACGTGAACTCATTTGTGAAATCAATGCCCTAAGGATCATCTTTACAACGGAATGATTACAAAAAGGTTTCAATTGGCAGAATGATAAAAAAATAAATAAATAAAAGGATTTTCAAGTAAGTTTAAAAATTTAAGTGAGGCTGGGCATCGGTGGTGCACGCCTTTAATCCCAGCACTCGGGAGGCAGAGGCAGGCGGATCTCTGTGAGTTCGAGGCCAGCCTGGTCTCCAGAGTGAGTGCCAGGATAGGCTCCAAAGCTACACAGAGAAACCTTGTCTCAAAAAAAAAAAAAAAAAAAAAAAAAAAAAAAAAAAAAAAAAGTCAATAGGTTAAGAGACTTCCAACACAGAAGTAAAAAAATTCATCTGAATTATTTTCATTAAAGAAAATTGCTGCTTTGACAAAAAGACTACATCACTTTTGTCCACTTGACAAAGATTTTAAAAGTCATACGG